CCTTTTTTTTTTTTTTTTTTTTAATGCAAACACATCGGCGGCAGGGATGGTGGGGGCGCTGATAAGATCAGACACCCCTCCCATTCCGCATCATGATGGCTCCGTTCCATTGGTGGGGAGCTGCACCTGCTGGAAATCGGGTCCAGCGTCCCTTAACATTCGCTGCAAAAAGCCATAGTTATATCAGTTTCAGTTGTAGGTCGTAATTAATGGGCGCTGGGCAGCATTGATTGCCCTCCACAGAGGGGATTAACTGCCCATCTATTTTAACAGCTCAGCCACACAGCCCTTCCACATTCCTTCATCCTTAAGCGGTTCCACCATGTCCCTTCCACATGGCAGAAAAATTATGATCACCAACCACCATTCCTTCGAGAGCGAACTCCCCAAGGCCCCTCTTAACCCAAGAGCACTCCCCGAGGCGAACGTTACCCAATCCATTCGCGGTTGCTCGTTGCTATTCTCAGATGCTTCTAAATCATTCTACGGTGTGTGTGCGCTGTGTGGCAAGCTTAATTTGATGTATGGATCATGCCAACCAACAGGCAACCGGATCAAATATTATCAAGACGAAGCAGAGCACCCACTCTCATACTCTTAATAGATTTTCCCAAATTACAATTTCTTGCCATTTTTTTGTTTTGTTTTGATGGACCATGATCTCTCAATTTATGTGTGTCATCCTTGTGCAGGGGCCATGCTACTCTTCTTTCTCTGTGTTGTTCAAATATTTTAACGGGTGTCGCCAAAGGATCTTCTTTCTTCTTTTGCCTTGCTTTAATCTTTGGTAGCCCACAGTCTTCGCCCGAATAAAAGGTATGGTCATTATTGTTGTATCTAAGGGCGTACTCACACTAACAGTATCTCAAGTGTACCTGACGGCATTCACGGCCATACCAGGATGTATCTGGCCGCAATTCCATCCAAAAATGTGTAAAAAAGGCGTAGTGTGAGTATGCCCTGAGACTCAAAGTTGCCCTAAATACAGCTATAATGACTGTATATTGTATTCGGGTGGGGCCGGTGGCGGTGTCTCTTTTTCCTGGAGGCAGATGTGATCTGTGGCTATGTCAGACTGATGACGACATGGAATGCTGTTATGGAGTTGGGAGGAGGGGGGGGGGGGGGGGGGGGGGGGGGGGGGGGGGGGGGGGGGGGGGGGGAGAGGTATTTTGTAAACTGAGAGGGTACCGGGGACTTCTCCCGAGGACAGAAGAGGGCAGCATCCAAAACCACTCCAGGAGGTAATGGAAATTCTGGAAGCACTGTGGGGAAGGGCATGTTCACACTTGACATATAATGAATGCACTTGGACTGGATTTAATGCAAAATTCTGTTTTTTTTTTGGGGGGGGGGAAGAGGTATTTTGTTAGCTGAGAGGGCACGGGGGGACTTCTCCTGAGCACAGTGGAGGGCAGCATCCAAAACCACTCCAGGTAATGGAAATGCTGGAAGCACTGTGGGGAAGGACAGGTTCACACTTGGCATATAATGAATGCACTTGGGCTGGATTTAATGCAAAATTCTGTTTTACTGTTACAAGATACTGTCGAGGACAGCAGAGGGCAGCATCCAAAACCGCTGCAGCTCATGGAAACTCTGGAAGCACTGTGGAAAAGTGCATGTTCACACTTGGCATATAGTGAATGCACTTGGACTGGATTTAATGCAAAATTTTGTTTTACTGTTACAAGATACTGTCGGAGCTCCCCAGGACAGCAGAGGGCAGCATTCAAAACCAGTGCAGGTAGAGAAGTATGTTTTAACTTTTAACTTTTATTTTATATTTGGAATTTGGTAGAGAATTTCTTCTTTTTTTTTTTTAGAAAGAAATTCAAAGACTGACCATTGCTTGGCGCTAGCAGCCGTGCTCCCCCATCGGCAATGCCTGCCCACCCCTCGTCACCGTGATGAGGGACTGGTACAGCCTTGCTCTCACACCACAGCTGTGGTGCAAACCTACCCCGTGGGCTGGGGAGAGATCCGGGTTGGTTGGTGTTCCACCGTACTATAAATAGACTAGTGAGAGGATGAGATAGATGCGTTATCATGCGTACTACCAAGAAGAAAAAAAAAAGAAAGGAAAAAAAAAAGATGAAATATATTTTTAAGAAAAAAAAGAAAGCCGGGAATCCGGCCCGGCGTCCCTTACAAAATTAGGTGGGGCCCTCAGCGGGCAAGGCATCACCGGCCAAGCACATCGAGGGCACCACTAGATTTCACCCCACAACCAACTCCACAACCAACTCCACAACCAACTCCACAACCAACTCCACAGCCCCTACCACTGAAAAATCAATGAAAATTATCAGCAAAATCTGAGTTCATCACCAAGAAACTCTAATCACAACAGTCGTGACAACCCTAATTTAGTGACCCGAATCCCACTAACCATGAAAAGAAAACCATACGCAAAAGGCAATCAAAACCACAGAAAAGAACCAGCGGTCAGCACTACTTGATCATGTCCTTTATTCATCCAGAGTTACTACCAATCCCTGCCAATCCACCCTGCCACCCGTGCGGCAGGGGTCTGTGCCCACAGGCCCCAAACTGTTGACAGAGACCCCGCAAACCCACCCACCTCCTTGCGATCCAACGCGGATAGCACCTCCCCACACTCTTCATACAAAAACACCAACTCCCACCATGATACTGTTTTCACTAACCAGGGGATTACCCCACCTCCCGCGTGGCAGGGGCCAAAAAGCCCCGCAAAACCCACCCACCTCCTCACGATTTAGGGTAAGCCCCTCCCTCAATTCTGCATACACCCCCTACGGATGCTTCCCCGCCCTCCATGACAAAGTCCCAGTGGAGCAATGCTCACCATTCTGCCTCAAGAATTCAGATGACAGCAGGACACTAGCCTATTAAGATGAAATGAATACCTGACCCAAATTCAACGTCTCAGCGGTAATACCCTACCTCCCGCGCGGCAGGGGTCAAAGACCCCGCAAACCCACTCACCTCGTCGCGATTTAGGGAAAACCACTTCCACTAATCTGCGCCTTCTCACAAGGAAACCCCACCACCCACCGTAATGGCGTTTCTACGGAGCGGCACTGTCTCTTTCATTTCATCGCATGCAGAAACGCTGCACAAAAATCGCAACAAATCATGACAACTATTACCCAAACGGCAAACAAGGAAAACAGTTCAAAACACCAAAGATGACACAAATTGCCTCAACCCTAGTCTAATCTGAAACATCCGCACGGCACCGACCCTAGAAGGCCCAATGCTCTTACCTCCCGTTCTCTCTCTCTCTCTCTCTCTCTCTCTCTCTCTCTCTCTCTCTCTCTCTCTCTCTCTCTCTCTCTCTCTCTCTCTCTCTCCCTCCCCATAACACAGGCCACGACAGGTGAGCACACCCAATCCATGAAGTCGATGTGCGTTCCTGGAGATCGTAAGCGAAATCCCCACGTGCCTCTGCTGTGCAGCGAACGTGAGAAGTCCAGCAGCAATCTCCCATATCTCCTGTCTCCCTCACCTTCACGGGCTGACCCTGACAACGGTGTCAGGGCAGTAGACCCCCGCAAAAACCTCCATTTTAAGCATAACCCCCTATCGGTCTCGTCAGGTATCGTGCAGCGTCCGGATCCCACCCGCTGATGGCTCACTCTCTCCTTCCTCCATGAAACTACGAATCCTGACAGAAGTCAAGTGAGACCAGCAATGGCCAGGAGCATGTCACGGCTCCCTCGGCATGCCCCCTTAACACCCCAGTGTTCTTTCCTGCGCCGCCATGGTCACGCCAGCGCCAGGTTTTGGCAGTCGAAGCAGATAGCCCCCCAACATCTGAACGCCGCCACTGAGGCGATGCATTAGCGCAGCGCTAAGGCACCACCTTTCGATAATTTTCCGTGAGAAATAGTCGAAATTATGTACCCGGAGGCAAAAGTTGTTCAGTTTATTTTTCTACATAACATAGTTTATGTTTCTGCATAACATAGTTTATGTTTTAGGCCAGGCTACCCGGGCAAACAAGGTGACCCAGGCTGCCTGGCTGGTAGCCTAGCCTGCGCGCCAAAAAAAAAAAATGAACCAACATGGGCCTGCTTTTGGCTGGCTGCGCC